CCGCCGGCCCTGATGCCCTCTTCCTCCACTTCCACGCCTGAAGATGCAGCTGGTGTACCATGCTGTCTAGGTGTAGACGAAGCCGGGCGCGGCCCCGTCCTCGGCCCCATGGTCTATGGCGTCTTCTACCTACCCCTCGCGCTCTCCGACCCTCTCCTGCGCGACAAGCACCACTTCGACGACTCCAAAGTCCTCACGCCCGCCGTGCGCTCCAACCTCATGCAAGCTCTCTGCATGCCTCCTGATAGTTCTACACAATCCGAAACTGCGACTGCAGAACCAACACTCTACACCCACACCGGCTGGGCCACAACGGCCCTTTCCGCGCGCTCCATCTCCGCGGCCATGTACCGCCCCGGCGCAGCGTACAATCTCAATGCACAAGCCATGGACGCGACGATTGAGCTCATCCGGGGTGTCTTTGCGCGAGGCGTCAACGTCAAGGAGATCTACGTCGACACGATCGGCCAGCCGGCTGCGTACCAAAAGAAATTAGAGCGGGTGTTTCCCGCAGTGCAAATTACGGTTGCGAAGAAGGCGGATAGTCTGTATCCGTGTGTGAGTGCAGCGAGTGTGTGTGCCAAGGTGACGCGAGATGCGTGTCTAGAGGTGCTGTATGAGCAGCAGCTAGAGGTTGAGCGGAGCATGATGGCACGTCGGAACGGGCAAGAACAAGGAGATGAAGAGGGTGAAGAAGGGCAAGAAGACGAGGAGAAGGGTACAGGTATGGCTTGGGGTTCCGGATATCCCTCTGATGCGAGGTGCGTCACTTGGATGAAGGCCAATATGCACCCGGTTTTCGGATGGGGTCCCGAGTGTAGGTTCAGCTGGGGCACAGCAAAGGACATGATCGAGACGAAGGGGAACGGCGTCAAGGTCGAGTGGCCGCTTGATGATGATGGCGAGACGGGCCGAGTGACGGACTTTTTCGTTAGCAGCAACGACCGTGAGCTGGATGGCGATGAGTTGGGAACGTGGTTCGGCACGCCAGTGGGCGTTGAGACCTTTTAATATGCATACTGCGCAGCATAACTTGGAGTTTGGATGGTTTGATAAACCTTTGTTTGATTGATTGTTATTTTGAATTGGTGTTCAGGTGTCACCCCGCGTTCTTTTTTGGTCTCGATGGGGAGTTTTAAACGGGATATATATGAAAAGATAGGAAGTCCTATGCCAACCTAGCCCAATCATACAACAATACAAGGAGAACGGACTCGCAGCAGCTTTTATACGAACTGATTTGCGTTCTTTCAAATATCGTCTTCATCCTCGTCATTCTCCTTGCGCTTGCCCTTGCTGTCGAGCGTCTCCATGCTAATAGAATCCGTGTCCCTGCGAGCAGGCATTGCTAAGGCCGAACGTGCTGTTTCGTTGTTCTCGAGGAAGTCTCGCAGCTTTTGTTTGCCAATCTCAACTGCCTGGTTGCTAGCGGCATTAGTCATTTGCATCATGGGGCCGAGCAAATTCAGGGTGTAGGCAACATAAGTGCCGCCTGCAAGCATGCAAAGCATAATGAAGAGAACGGGGTTTCGGAGAACTATGCAATATGTTAGCCAGCTGTAAAAGGAGAGTCAAAGGGGCATACAGAATATTACCCATCCATATCTCATTCCATCCGAGAACCAAAAGCACCGCGTAGAAATATAGAGGAACCTGAGTAATGCCGCCCAAAGCACTCCGCTTCGCCTCAACGTAAACACCGTCGGCTGTCTTCTTGAAACGAATAACAAGATCCTGGCGTTTACTCTCGCTAAGGATGGTCATTTCCTCTTCGAGACTCTTGCCTTCCTCCTCATCAACCCCACCGATGGGGGTGAGATCCTCCTCGTCGCTCGGTTCGACGCCGTGAGGCTGGCTGCCAACGAACGCAGGCAGATCGGGAGGTCCGTACGTTTCTGCAAGCCTGAATCTCGATAGCAAAGGAATTAGGGCTAACGTTGATTCGCGAGCACGCGTGTAGATGCCCTCAATATCGTCGCTGGGTCGCCAGATCCTGGGAACACCGGCCTCGTCGTACCGGAACTTGTCTTCAAAGTTCTCGCGAAGCTTGAGCAGAATGTTGCCTTCCATCACTTCCTCTTCAATCTTTTCCCGCAGAGCAACCCAGCTCTTGCGTCGCAGCCTCCACAACCCAATCTCCACTTCGTCCTCGGTAGCTTCCAGGTTCTTGGCTCGGTCCTTGAATCGGTCCTGTGCCTCCGTGACAATCGATACAAAGACAGTCCAGATGCGGTCCCAGAGATCTTTTTCCGTTGCTGGCTTCTCGCCATCCTCGGGTGCACCAGATCCACCGCGACCAGATCCAATCTTGTTGAACTCCAATCCAATCGCGTCTCCGAGCCTGGACCTGACCCAGCGTTCAACGCGCGTGGCAAGCCGGCGCATCTCCTCTTTTCTCAGTCTTGCGCCAACTTCATCGAGCTCCTTGCCAAAGAGCAGGTATTGTGGCTTAAAGTTGGTCCACGGAACGCCCTCCATAGCCAGGCTCTGCGCTTCTTTCTTGAAAATGTCCATGGTCTTGGCCTTTTGCTTTTCGATGATCTCGGTGAATTCATACTGTCCGCCTGCCTTCTGGCCAGCCTTGACAGCATTGGTGACGGCATCCGTGAAAGCAGCTACACCTTTCTTGTGAGCTGCCATGAGCTGCCCCTGATATAGCGGCCTCAGACGCGCATCAATCTTCTCTTCTAGCTCCAAGTGCTTTCTCTTGTATACAGCCTTGTGGTATCTGCTCGCCTGGCTCTCAAAGGCCTTAGTAGTCTTTTCGCGGGACGCCCTACCGATGGTGCCAAGGTCAGCCAAGACGGTAGGAGTGCCGGCTCTAGCGGCATCTTGCTGCTGCGTCTCCAGTGGGATGATCTCGTTGTCGAAAGCAACCAGAACTTCCCGTGCAATCTCGTCGCAACGGAATTGCGCGAGCAGCTCCTGCTGGGTCGGCAGATCGAGGTCCTTGTTGTTGACGATTTGGTCCCAGATGCCCTCGGCATACACAGAAAAACCGTCGGCTGGGATCCTACGGTGAAATTCAGGCAAAAACACGCCACCTTCAAACTCCTGATCTGGAGTAGATCTATGTCCAGCCGTGAATCTCTTTGCTAGCACGTCCACTTCGGACACAAACTTCTCGGGTTGAAGGATTTTGTGCGGCAAAGCAGCAAATGCAAAGTCAAAGTAGTCCTCAATCTTTGAGTTTTCGAGGCCCTGGGGCTTCGATATCGACGTCCAGATCTTGGTGAGATCTTGCACCAGGGTGTTCCGAAGGTTCTCAAGCGGCGTGTTTCCGATATGGTCGCGAATGACGAAGAAGAGCAGTGACCTCGGGTTCGACCTAGTCCAAAGATTCGTCAGAATTGTATCGAGCTCAAATAGAGCAGCCAAACTTACTGCTTGTCTTTCAAAAAGAGCTGCAAATTGACTTCGAACACTGTCTTGAGCAGACCCATGTTTGCGCCCTGGTATAGACCAACTTGATGCTCCCAAATGTTGACAATCAAGACTTCGCTTGTCGCAAGAGCAAACAGAGCACTCTTCCTCTCGAAATCTTGGTCCTCGCCTCTCTCGCGGCCGTCGGTGCCCTCAACGTCCATAACCAGGATATTGTCGGCCAATTGAACCGCGCCATTGGCGGCCTGCTCTTTCTTGTTCTTGGACATCCATATTCCCTTTGTGGTCTGGCGGCGCTCGGACTCGGACATGACGCTGAAGTCGGTGCCAAAGAGATTGTTGAGCAAGGTTGACTTGCCCGTCGACTGAGAGCCAAAGACTGAGATGATGTGGTAGTTGAAGCCGGCGGCGGCGACATGGCTCTGGACTAGGTAGTCGCCCAGGTTGGAGCTGCCTTGGCCATTAGTATGAGCTGCTGCGGGAGTCTTGTTGTGGTAAATTGGGATGGTCTGACTTGTACTGCTTGTCCTCATCGATGACTTGGACACCATGCTCATAATGCGTGGCAGCGGGCGCATCGCCCACTGCAGCGAAGTTGCCGTTCATGGCGGCGATTCAAGGTTGTGACGTGGTGGTGGGATTGTGCAGGCAGTTTCAGGTTATGATGCAGATAGGGCCATGCTCATTGCCGTGGTGCAGACGGTGGTCGGGATATCAGCTGTAGAAAGGTCGGGTGGAGACTGAACAGCCAAAGCAAAAGCAATAGTAGCAGAAGGAGAAACGAAGCACGAGCTGGGAATTGGATGGGATGGGATGAGGTTCAACTTCGCATGTGGCCACAACCTGCTTGCGGCAAGTTGGCGTGTCCCCGGTCAGCGGGTACTGGAAATTGACAGGGGCGTTCATGACAGCGCCGGCCAGCAGCTCCAAGTGCTGTACAGCTCGCCTGACACGCTGTACGCTTGGCAGGTAAGTGCCTGCTTCGCGCGCTAATTTTGGGTAGAGGCTAACGGCTAGACCATCTGACTTGTGCACGGGAAATATCGAAGTGGTATCAGGCCCAATCCCAGGAGGGACTTTGGCCTTTGGCCTACAGATAGCCATTATATGCTCCTGAGCTCGGTGCTTCTATACAATTCTCCAAAATCCAAGGGCGCCACCGAGCCCGACATCACCGGGACGACCAGCTGCTTTCCGCATATGATACGCTCTGCCCAGTCTGTCAACGCGCCCAGTCCGTCTTGGAAGTTGACAGTTGAGAGCTATCAAAGGGCCTAGAAGCGGCTCCAAGCATGCGCTCACCGTACCCATCCACATTATCTAGATTAAGACTGGTGTCCGTGTTGTGGAGCCGTGTAACATTGCGACCAGCCACACAGCGGACATCTTTACATAGACCCAGTAGTCCCTTGGCTACATGAATTTCGCAAGATTAACAATAGCAGCTTATAGTCATACTGTGGTATTCATTATCAAGCTACTCTGTCGGGGTGGAAGTGAAGAGCAGCAGGTGTGGATGCAATTCAATGCAGCCCCGCAGAACTGTCTCTCTTTTGCATCTAACGTGGAATTCATAAAGCACCTGAAAAGCCAAAACATCAACAGTAACTCATCAAGCGCAAATGGTTTAGTGGTAAAATCCATCGTTGCCATCCGATTATCCAGTATCATCAGTTGATTCGATGGGCCCCCGGTTCGATTCCGGGTTTGCGCAATATTTTGTACTTTTGTTTTTTTCCATTTTCTGAATTGGCGCATGTTCTGAAGCAAGTCCAACCCAATCTTTTTTCTCTCATCGATTGAGTATTCATCAATGCTGGAACATACCGCACTATCAGAAGGATGTCTCGTTCAGAGATTGGTGGCCCGCATCGATGGCATACATACAGCAGTGCTGCATGTAGAGCAATCCGCGTGAATTCGGTCTCAAGAATTCAGCGACCGATTATCCGTACTTTGAAATAAGTCTTGTCATGATGCTCATGGCTCCGCTCCTGTACCCTCCGCCAAACATTGCGTAGTGATTGAGATGATGATATCTGCGCCATGTCAGATGCAAAGTTCCTTGAACGGTGCGATCAGTCGCGTCAAAGCCCAACTCACAGCTCGTATAATGCAACACGATCCTCCCATTCCTCTTTAGGTTCGGCCTTGGGCACCAGCTGGTTGTATTCGTTCCAAAAGATACTGCTGAAGCCGCCAAACATGTGCATGATGCCGAGTTCATACTCGGAATGGCCATAGACCGCAGAAGGGTCATAAACGACCTCTTCAACACCGCCCTGGCCTGCAATGACCCCTCTGCCTTTGTTGCCACTCCACAAGTCGCCATGTATCACAACAGGCATAATGTCCTTGACAGTGTCATTGCCTATCAAGCGCGGCACAACTTTTGCAGCCACCGTCTCGAGTGCCTTTTCAAAATCGGCGTTACTACCATTGGACTTGATGCAAGCCTTGCCAATGGCGCGTATGCGGTTGTTGGCGTAGAAATCGGCCCAATTCTCGCGCCAGGAGTTATCTTGCTCTGTGGATCCGCAGCTTGTCGGCACAGGAAAGCCAAACATGGGCCTGTCGTAGCCCTCTGGGATCGGCGCTGGCGTCTTGTGCATTTTGGCGAGTTTCTGTGCCAGTGACTGACCAGAACCGGCGTGCTGTTGCCCCCTCGCGCCCAGATCGAGGAAGTCGGTGGCGAGGAAGAACTTGCCTGAAGAGTTGGCGAGCTGGCCATGACCGTGAGACGCTGGGCAGAAAACGGTCACAGCGGTGTGGATTGCATTGAGCGAGGCATGCTCTCCTGGATTATGATTCAACACGCAAACAAGTCAGTCGCAGTCGCATAGTCCTGACCGTGTTGAAAAAGTGGGCTGAGCGCTTTTGAGTCGGCTGTTCAGCCAGAGAGCATACCCCTAAACATGATCTCTGCATCTTTCCCTAATCCTGTCTTGACAAAATAACTGACTGGTTTGCCGTCCTTGAAACCTGTGAGGCGGTAGGTGGACGAGAAGCCTGAGCCGCCGTGTGAAGCCTGCTTGGCGCTATCGGCGTCCAAGCCGAGGGCGTCGAGGATGGCAGGATCGACTGGCATCATGTATGGTGTGCATGGTCAGAGATTAGTGTAGAGAAACTATCAGCGCGGAACAAAGACAAGTGAGGGTTGGGAAGGACCAAACAGCCGCAAAAGTAGTGACAACAGCCTCAAGAACTGACGTCACAAATAAGTCTCCAACGGCTGCTTACCTCACATTTCAGCACCAGCGCAACCTCATCCATGGATGTGCTATTTCGAGACAAAACTCGAATATTGAAGGTCAAGTTGGTGGCACCGCACTTTGAACGTCTTTTCATCACTAAGTCGAACCGGCCAGTCCTCAAAATGCAGCCTCGTCGTCAATCTACATAGCCAGCTGCCTCTGGATTCAGCTTTTAACTGTTCCGTCTGCAACGCGAATAACGCGAGTTTCGATACGAACTTCATCATTGACACATTCAATGTATTGTCAGTTCTACATATTTCGCATTCTGCTTGCTACTAGGTAGATATCTATGTGTAACTCTACTCAGTTGTGCCTGGGCGGACTACGACGGACTGCTCCACCAGCGGATTGGGACCTTTATCATCCTTTCTTCCCCGTGCCTCGTTCTAGTGGCGTGATCTTCAGCATCCTGAGAGGTCTTCAATTGGACTTGAAATCCGATGTGCCTGTGTCAAAAACGTCTTATAGCTGTGCCAATAGTATGAAAACCACGATAGTTCGTGTAGGTTTAAGTATCCATAGATCCGGATGTCTTGGTACAAGTACTCAAGATTGTTATTGCCAGGGTTAGGGTATGGAGTTGAAGTTTATTGGACGCCAGCACAAGCAGAATCTCGTCATGCCCAAGCATACACTCATGAGACTTGTATGATACCTTTCCGCAACCGGAAATTCTCTATTCTAATAGTTGCTTTGTTTCCTGCTCAATAGCATCAAGTATCTATTTCAACTTGTTTGCCTTAAATTGGTATCACTCACTTCCATAACAGGAACAGAAACAGGAAAGTCAGGGAATCCGTCAACCTGCCAAGCAGCCATTCCGCAAAATATTCGCGAGATATCTGCGAGGTCTTTTGCACGATACTGCTCTCGCCACCACTGGGCGCGCCTCTCTTGACTCGCACTAGGAGGGGAACCTTGTGCTCGCGATCAATCTTCACCGCCAGCATGTCCAAACAATCCCAAAGACGGCACAGCGTCGGACCTGCAGCGGATTGCAAGACAGCCCTGAGACCAGCCGCGGGCAGTCACACTGCAGGTCGAGAAAAAGAAAGAAAGCAAGATACTCCGTCAAGGTGCACCCGCTCACCATCAGCCCTCATCACCACCAATCTCAACATCTTTTCTCCTACTCCTCCTCGTCTTCCTCGAGGCCCGAACGCCTTGGCTCGAGCGGTCTGAGGTCGGAAGCCGTTGTGTCGATACTTCGTCTTCTGCCCAGGCCAAATCCCAGTCCCCGTCCTAGGCCATGTCCTCGTCCCAGGCCAAGCCGCAGGCCGGAAAAGGGATTAACCAGCCGCCATTCGATGGCAGCAGCGGGAGATCGACACGCTGTCCGTAGCGTATGTTCCTCGCCAGCACCGTTGAAGCACCTTGCGCAAGGGCAGACAGGCGGCTGCCGGGGGCTCGCCTGCTGCGCTGAGTGGTACGACGCGCGGATGCCAAAGCCCATGGTTGGCGAGAGACCAGGGTTGTTACTTGTGTCTTTCTACTGCTGCACTCTTCGATTCGGCGAGGCTCGGTAAAGCAAGTCCTGCTCCTGCCTTGATCTCCAATGGATCAAGAGAGAGAAAGATCCTTCCCGGAGTTATATCGGTGTTGTTTGATAGGAAGAGCGAGGGCCACTTTGTCAAGATAAGTGGGTCTTGCAGGCGCGGCACAAGGCTGAGGCGATTCCCAGGCTGGGGATCCACCTGGTCTAACAACGTTTTGCTGGTCTGGAACTTCAACGACGCCAAAAGTGCGAGTCGCGCCGAAAAGGGATCCGATGACGGTGCGGTGCCTGGGGTCGGACTGCGTCGGTTGATTGCTCGGCCTTGTCAGTTGTGCATACCGCTCTTTAGCAAAGACCTGCTCAATGTTTTCAATGAAGGGGACGTCGTCCTCTTTATAGTTTTGGGTTGTTCCAAGGTTCTGCTGAACTCTGGAGCAGAGTGTGTCGCCCTCCTTCTCCCGCCCTCCAGGCCGCGCGCACGGCTCAGATGACACTTTTCGCGGCGCGAAGCTTATGTCTGTTATCGTTGGGGAATTGTCGTTGTTGGGTGTGCATACATAACAACCACATGTGTGTGCCATACTCTCCATCTGCCGTCGAATTTCCGGCCTCTTTCCCTGCATCTTTGATCTCTCTTTACTTTTTCTTTCCTATCATGGAGGTATGATGTGGTACCCCGATGCCGCAATGTAGTATCTACAACACGGTTATGCGGCAGTCTTGATGTAAGTGACGAGTCGTCTCTTCACGTACCTGTCACTCGGTCCTTATTCCTTGCCCGTACAGTTACCAGGCCTTTGCCGTCAATGTCCCAGATTTACTCCTGATACGCCACCACAATGACCTACAAGGCGCTTCTGGTCTGAATCAACTCAGGCGTCAAACTGCCGTGGTCCAATTCTTCCACCACTACTCGCCGGCATAAACGGCAGACACCTGATCATATTCGGCGGACTAAACCCCATGTCCAGCCCATTCTCGCGGCCATCTTCCTCGGCCCTCGTGTCGACAACTTTCTTTTCCCTCTCCACTATTCTACCTGGGTCAATCGTAGAGTCGCATGCAAAAGTCTGGCCTCAGTCTGTTCCCCTTCGTCCTCATATCACAGCGCAGAAGCTGAACATGCAAGAAATAAAGTATCCCATTATCAGCTGCTTAAGGATCAGCACCTTCCACATTGATCACCATTAATATTGCGTGTTCAGTGTTCCGTACATATATGATATGCACCCCAGGAAACAGCCCCGTCTTCTTCATGGAGGAATCGGCGACCTTGTGTGACTGCACTCGTCGCCTGGAACCCTTCTTTCTCGGAGACTCTCTCGCAAGCATCCTCTGCAATAAGGATAAGAGAAGCACTTTGTGGTTATTCGTCATCTTGGTGCTTGTTTTACAAACGTGTAGCTGCGGCTGAAGGCGGCACAGGGCGCTTATACTTGGGCGGAGTCCACCTGATCGATTCATTGATGTCACTGATCCTATTCACATACTTCAAAATACCACGCCAATGCTTTGTGGTATGTACAGCATACTGAGACAAATCACCTCACGTTGAACCAACCTACTTATCAATTGGTGGATGGTGCACGGCTGGACAGCCGGCTGGCTTATGAAACTATTTTTCTCAACCATAAGCCAATCGCTGACTATACTACTTAGCCCTACCACCAAAAATATTGACTGGATTCTTCTGTCAACACTAGCAGACTTCCTAGCTAGTCATGTCCTTGGTGGACTGCCATTCAAAGAAACAGTACGCTAAAATTTAGCCTCCGCATATCTGGATCTTGCTGATTCTCCTTGCTCATGCCGAGCTTGTTATGCATTTCGATGCTGCGGTATAGGGTGTGGTAAGTTGTCAGGAATATGGGGCTGAATTATCCTCAGACTTATCATGATATAGCAATGCTCGGCAGCGCGATTTCGAAGACACCACGATTGCTCATATTCTAGTGAATACGA